TCCTGTCCAAAATTCCTCAGAATACTGCACTGCTATCAGAATAAATCGCAAGACCAGATTCACTGGCTATTGCTAATTTAAAAATTAAGATAACACTTAAGTATTTTATATTCTCGCTGAGAAATTGTGCTTGGAATACATTGTTCAGTTTTTATTCTATAGTTGTCCCTACAGTTGGCGACTTTTACAGTTGCTTTGTCCAGTGCTGCATAGCCCATCGGTCAGCCGGATAGTGATTCTGCTACCTTTTTGTCCTCTGAAGGCTCATTGCCACCCAACAAGATTTTAGCCGTCTCGAGATGTCTTCGGTTGCCATCAGGATGAGATGCCTTACGGTTCAGGAGGACTTTTGTTATAATTTTAAAATTTTGGTAAACTTGTCCCATTTTTTAATGCACTTTGAAATATACTTTCGGCATCACTCTTAGTTTACTCTCTCACTCAAATGCTGAGTCTAAAGACTGGACACTGCTGTTTCTGCATGTAGGGATGGAAATAATGATTGAAGCCAAAAAAACTGAGATTCAGAATTTGGCACAAATTTAGCCACATGAAGATTTACAGACACTGGAATGCTTCCCCATCCATTTAAAAGCTCTCAGTTCCTAACAGTGACTGTGATAGTGCTGACGATACTGTGTCAGTAAATTACGGAATTTGCTGGACAAATTTTCCTGGTAGTTGATAACATTACCTTTCCTAAATGATTAGCAATGGAGCAGTAGCGAGCAGTGCCAAGCCATGGTACTCGATTTGCCGCAGGCGTAGAATCTTCTTTGCTCTGCCTGTAAAATTTCTCTGATTTGTATATTATCTCTATTTTGACAGAATAAACATGCACACGAAGCTCTTTTGCTCAGTTTGCCTTCAAAATCTCCTAAATTAGTTTGTGTGGATTTATAAGTAGTTTCAAAGAGTTGCAGGATGTCACTGGCATCGATTTTTGACGGTATGGATACCTCATTTCCTTTCACTTGTGCACCAGTTTTCCTTTAGCATGATATTTTTATCGCTTTTACTCTAAATTTTTACTTCCGATTCAGTTTTTCCGCCTTTCAAGGTATTTTTGTTCAACTTTGTACTTTTTGCATATTCTACCTACCTTACCTAAATCTTCATCCCTCTAGTTTAGTTTCACGTCTTCATTCACTTTGGCTGCATTTTTTGCCTTTTCACGGATGATTTATGCGCATCTTTCATGACATGGTATATGAGAAACAAGATGTAATGCAGAAGAGAATAGGTCGACAGCCGTTCTTACCGGAAGTACTACTAGGCCACTTGGTGTAAACTCGGAGCATACTCGGCAAGAAATAAATGATTGCTCGGGCGTCTCCCTATGAGGTGGCGCGTGCGCATAGAACAGATATTAACTGGTTTAGAGGAGCCAAAATGCTTGGCAAGACTTCAGTCGGGTATCGGAGCATCCCAATAAAATCACTGGCAAGAGATAACCACAGCGGTTATCTAAGCAGTTTTGATATTCTTGTTGCTTATGTATGTGCTGGCATTCGATTACTTTTTAAATATATTTTTTTTAGCAATAGTTTACACGTA